GGACAAGGGGGGGAGGGGGGGTCTGAAAATCCATCATTTGGCCGGACATCCTTTGTGAATGGCCCCTTACTTATTAACTGAACACTAAATGCACGAGCTTGCATTATTTTGAAAGTATTTGAACCGTACCTATATAACTATTACGATGCATACGAAGATGAGTATATGCAACAGTCTACACGCTTAAAATTGGTAATGTAGAATGGTAGTGAGATTAAATTTATTAATTCATTTTGCTTTACGGTTGACGGTTCCTATACTGTCTTCGGTCAATTAGATTAGAATACATTTCAGATTTTAAAACAGCTCACCAATTTTTCATCAAGGCCTGGATCCGCGTCAACGGCTTGCCATACTGGTTCACAAAGTCGCATTAATTCATTAAAACCATGATCTGTTCTGTAACCAAATATTAATGATCCAAACCCCAGGCAACTGGTGTGCATACAGGAAATTCGGTCAATTTCCATATCATCTTCGCCGGCAGAAATCATCGCCAAATCAACAAACACTTTAAGCTCTTGTTCATCTGAAATCAAGTTCAAAAGGAGATATTTTACTGAGAAATGTCAATTGGTAACAATGTCCATATATTCTATAGTATTCCAACTCAAAAATCTAAACTGGATGTAAATTGCCCGAGCGGTTAGGCAAATTCAGAGACAGAAGGTGCATGAATGGAAAAATGCCATCCCATATATAATCCTTGTAAGCCTGAAATGACAGCCCTAAATATTATCAAAATTGAGGCAGATATATAATGTATAATATAAAGTGCTAATCAAGGTCATTAATTTAATAATTTACTTCAAAAGTGTACTTTTATCATAAAATACAAACAAATCTCAAAACTCCAAATTTCATTTTAGACACGGACCAAACTTATTCCCAAAATTGGAATGCATTTTTCATAGTCAGGAACATGTTAAGGTGGATGATGAAACAGACTGTTGATACAACTTGGCAATAGACTGATTTAAATAAATGAAATAAAAGAAGAAACGATAGATCCAGGGTTTTACACATGTCGTGTAACCACGGCTGAACCGCAACAACTGCAATGATTTTCATGTCTTCTTAATTCTGCAGTGACTCATTACCTTTTATGCTCTCTCTTAACCAAGTAACCAGATCAAAGCATTCTGTAAATGTCGTTAAACAACTTCGCCTCTTCGGGTCTATATCCTTTAACAGTTCTCCAGCTCTAACCAGATTGTCACTCACTGAATTAATAGCTTGACGTTCAAATTTTCCACCAATAATCTGAAATAAAAAGACAAATAAACCACCCAAATAAATACACCATCATTCATAAAGCACACTTGTGTATATTCGCCAATTAGTTGTTATAGTTAAGGTGGCTCCCTAGGGTTTTATAATTTACTACACTATAGTATTCAGGAGACTCCTGTTTATTTACTTTACATGATATGAAGACGAAATTTATTGGACACATTGACAATGTTCTCCTGAACATTGCAAATTGCTTCTTTTGTGTTAAAAATATTTTGTCATGGCAACAGCATGCTTAGAATAAAGCTCAAAATTTGTCTTTTTCAGGTCATTTTAAAAATTCCCTTCGGTGAAATTTTTTAAAACTTTGCATAAAAGATAATACTTGTATATTGATTTTTTTCCCTCAACTTAAGAAAATTAAATCGATACGTTTCTTAGAAAATTTAAAAAACGTCAAAAATCAATATTAAAAATTTTCCCTTCGATTTAATTTTAAGAAAAAAGGATATTGCACTTGTTGTGGCGATATTAAAAAATGTGCAAAGTTTTAAAAAATTTTACCGAAGGAAAACAGAGAAATTTGGGGGTAATTTTGGCAATTTTTACTAGATTTTTACGCGAACAATTTAATACCCCAACTGACGTGTACATGCATTCTGCATAAAACAACAAGGCATGACTTTTTTGAAATCACAAAATATAAATTATGTTTGATATACTGTTTATAACTGTGTCGGTTAATGGTCAACTAAGCGTGGATTCTACATGTAAAATCGGCAAAGATATTTAGGTAATTACTGGTTATGACTTCTTGGTATTAATTTGAAAAATGTTTGTCAAAATTCGTCTCGTGCGAGTTTATAGTACTATCGTCGGATGTTTTCGCAAAATGCCCGTTCAAATTTCAGTTTTTATGGTGGTATGTTTGGAGTTTCGGCCCTGCTCATTTCACCCGTAGAGGGCTCATTAATTAAGTCATCTTTGTTGCCATAAGTGCTGCTAGATGTGGAGAAAACACTGCAAATTCTTAAGGAAATTTTATATCAATATCCCAAAGTTCGCGATCGAACCTCGCGTACGGCGGTTCAAAAAACTTCCAGAATACCGCTTGAAAAAAAACAAGTTTACATTATCTTCTTTGAAACGTCACATTCCAGTGTCGTTTTGGCTTTTAGAACTCTTTTTATGCTTTCAACTAAAACAAAGTTCACACTTTTGTTTCAAAAAAGAATTCCATATAAAACACAACGTTCGTTCGTATTTTGAAGTCACACGAGTTTTAGTTTACATATATACGAAGAACGTAACCCCCGGAAATAAAACCCTCGGGAGCCACCTTAATTAATAACTGTAACTATTCAAGCAGAATTATTTGCGGCTGTAAAGTCCGTATTTTACCCTTTCGTCCACGTTTATCCTTAAAGTGCCTATAACACTTGAGGGACCTTTATGGATTTGAAAAGAGTGTAAAAAGTTAGTTCAAAAGTTTTTTTTGATTTAGTGTAATAGTTTTGAGGATATAAGCCTTTAAACAACGGCCTGTATCTTCGAAATTATTGCACTAAATCGAAAAACTTATTAACTAACTTTTTACGCTCTTCCCAAATCCATAAAGGTCCCACAAGTGATATATAGTCACTTTAAACTTCATTTTAACATTCTCAACTGAATCTTCTTTCTATAATAACCGTAGTTTGAACAGGAAAAACAACCGAGTAATTTTTTATAATTAAGGCAAACAGGGTTTTCGGGACTTTGATAACTAAGTTTTTAACAAATTGAAAACCTGTGCTAAAAATCAAAATCAATAAACAATAAAGAAATATTAGTAGATTGCGACTTGCAACGTCACTACACAAAGCACTGTTATATATAAAGAATTTAAGAATATTCTTGAGGGCGCAGAAAGAAATTTTAAAAAATACTACAGAAATTAGGTTGGATTGATAGTTTTTCTAAAAACAATGGAAAATTTGCAATTCAGATTCGTATTTTTGAACGATCGATTACTTGTTTATAAACAAAAGGTATCTTAGTTATATAAAACAGCTTCTAAAGAGTTCGATTATCTTCTGGCAAAGTTACATAACCATTCTTGCTGTGGCAACAATGACGTTTCAATATTGGAAATATGTTGGTTTTAAAGTAATCTAAAATAATGTTTTATTTCAAATGTCTTTCCTTAGTAAATTGAATTATTATAATGATTTCAAAAAATTCTGTCGAACTCAATGTTTTCCAAATTAGGCAAATGTGTATAGAATACATTTTGAATGGATAGAAATTTTTAAAACGTTAAAATAATTTAACATGCTTAAATAAAGCACTTAATGGAATAAAATATGAAAGTTTTTTTCGAGTTCAATTACTTTAAAGCCAAATATTCACCACATTGAAAAGTCATTGTTACCATAGCAGTGGAGTTATGTAACCTTTGTGGAAAAATTCAAAATTTTTAGATTGTTTTCTTAATTTATAGATTTTATTAAAATAAACTGATTTTGTTATTTCACACAAGCAAGAAGCTGTTTATTTTTCAACAAGTAGTAAAAGTCCCAAAGTACGGATCGTAATCGTATTTTTTCATTTTGTAAAAAATATACACTCGAAGGCAAGTTGCAAACGTTTGCCTTACCATATACAACAGCGGAATTATTATCAGTTGAAGTAAAATATGCCTACGAACTAACCTAAACATGCAGTTAATAAAGTATTACGTTTCTCGTCCAATAAATGCTGAAGTTCACAAAAATTCAGTAAACATTGCTTAATTAGACCTATAATAAAGATTCATTAATGCACACTCCTTGCCCAATATAGACTTAACAGGGAGGCAGCATCTTGATAAAACAGCTAGGTAGTGCAGTTGGGTTGCAAGTTTGTCCCTTTCCCTGCAGCAACGGCTTGGGAGTACTATTCCAAATCCATGAAAAGCTTCAGATTTCAGGTTCGAGTTTAAGTTAAAATTGTAATTTGTCCTATACAGCGGTCAAAAAATAAGATTTTTAATTAGAAAAAAACATGAGCGAGTACTTGCACTCCCACTGCATCTAAACTTTGCTAGCCTACTACATTAACTCTACGTGTTCAAAGTTGAGATAACCCAAATATTTGGCGAAACAATTTGCCCTGGGGGCACAGTTATACAACAAAAAGTATATAGCCTAACCTCTTTAATATTTTGGACTTCTGAAAAATCACCTTCGAGACCCATTACTTTTTGTAACTCTTCAATTGCCTGAGCAGCTTGCCAAGCATCAAAAAGTTGCTTATAACTCTTCACTTTTTTTATACTGACCCCAAGTTTCTTCGTTGCCTCACCCAATTGCGTTTGGCTATTAAAATATCTTGAAAGAAGCATGAACTCCTCTTCCAAGGCGTCGTAGTCCGTCTTATTAAACATATTTAAAAATTTGTCAACTTTCTTGAGTTGCATTTTACCATCAAGAAATTTTTGATTTATTGACTTGAGTTTGTCACAAATTCTTGACCAAATCTTGTTGAATATAATCTCCATTGTCACAACTTCATCTTTCAATTTTTCGCCGTATTTTGCCCATAACTTGTTAAAAATTTGACTGCGTTTTATCTCAGTAATTTTCAACATCATCTCGTGAAACTTGTCATTAAGCTTCAAAAACACCATATCATATCTTCCAGATCTTTCAATACATAAATCGCATATAGATAATTCACTATAATCTTGTACAACTATATCACGTAAAACACGAAGTTCCTCATCAACTAAAAAACAAAATAAGGTAAAACTGTGAAAAATATTACAACACTTTGACGTGCTTGTAGTCAAATTTAGGAAAATGTATTCTTGGGTATGGGGGTGATCTTGGATCATAAAGTCCTTAACTTTAATGTAGTTTATGTAAATGGCGTAATCATGCGATGCGAGTACAATTAACCATAAGGATTAACAACAGTATGAGTGATGTTTAAAAATTTTGCCAAAATTGCACGAGCCGCCAGGGCGAGTGTTATTTGGCTCAAAATTCATACATCACGAGTACTGTCTGATAATCCTTAATTTTACAAGCAACATCACCAGTAGCGTAGCCAGCCCTACGATTTAGTCCCGCTATGCAAATATTTCGTGTTCATTGACTGTAAAAACAATCAATTTCTAAAGAAATTAATAATGATAATACTTTTGAATTTGCATAGTGGGACTAAGTTGTCGGGCTGGCTACGCCACTGACCATCATTTCAAACTCTCAATAATTCATAAGCTTATTGGCAAATCATGTCAACCATAATATGTCACGTGCAGTGGCTTTAAACCTGATAAAACACTGCTAATTAGTATTCTTTATATAAAGAATACTAATAAGGCAGTATGTATTGTAGTCGTGTTTTCATTAGTATCCTTTATAAAAAGAATACCAATAAGGCAGTGTATCTGTTGAATTTGTAGTCGTGTTTGAAGCTGTTTAATAAACTCGCAGGTCGTGTTTTATTAGGTCTAAAGCCACTCGTGCTGCGCGCTCGTGACTTTAAACCTAATAAAACACTCCTGCTCGTTTATTAAACAGTACATGATAACTTGTTTGTTATTTGCATGACAAAATTACGAATTTTACTCACCCATGCCTTTCAAAACACACAGTATTGTTCTTTTACTTCAAAATATAAATTCTGGATACTCACTGCGTTCATTTCAAAATGTTTATATTGAAAATTTATTTGACAAATTTTGTCATGCAATTAATAAAGTTGGAAAAAATATGACTAAACAAATCATAAATTATCCTGTAACAAAAATGCTAATAAATATGCTCTAATCAACTTATGCAGACGGAGAAACTTTACTGTAAACCTCGGAATAGAAGCCTTCTTCCGTATACAGGGTGTCCCAGCCTAGTTCCAGGCTCTCTCTCTATTCGCTCCTTTGATATATTTAAATACGTCTTAAAAGGTGTGCTGTGCGGAACGCTTCAGCGAAAGAGCCTAGCAGATTTCGGTAAAATGGTCCCTGATTTCAAAAAAGTGGTCCCTGGCCTGGTTACCAAGCATACCGCACTTGTAAATAGAAAATGTTATGGAAATATCCTTTGCGTTTATAATTAAGTCATTAGTTTTGCTCTAATGCTGTCGGAACAATGAAATAGGCTACGTTTCGCTACCATACGGTCAGAATGGAATAACGGGATAAATATGACTTACTGAAGTATAAAGCCATATTAAATGCTATCTAGAAGCTCGAAAATTATGCCGAGTCTCCGACTAAAAATGTTTTGACAACACAATCATGTCAGGCAAATATTTCCAATCTCCTCAGCTACTTAAACCTGTCAAGTAGAAAGCGTAGTTGTGTATACCAGTATGGTCTAGTGTTGATCACAACTTGCGAGTATATAAATAACATCATCGATTATACGACCATTGCTCAGACTCAGTGTCGTCAGTTGGTATATGATAATTTTTTTTAATTGAGCACATTTGTAATACAGTTTGAATTTGGTTATGTAGACATCGAACATGATCAACGTATTTACAAAGTTATTTGTATATATAAATTCTCCGCCATATTAAAAATAATGAAATCTGCTAGGCGTTCTGAAGCACCTTTAGCGGTGACGTCACACCTAGGTCCCAGTTCCGTACTGCATCCACGTTTTATTCTCGCGCTTGCTTCAGAACGACTGGGACTAGGCTGCATGGATAGTTTTCCATGGCTTAATTCCTCGAATGGTGGCTTTAGTCCAGATCTTTTTTCTTTGCTTTTAATTCAATTTTCTACCCATTTTTCGTTGTACATTTAATACAAAACAAAATAAACCGCCTTCGAAAATCGAAATGAAACAAAAATGAACAGCTTGCAAGAAATTGTTGTCACCCGACATTCGAGATGAGAACACAGAACGAGTTCAAGTCGACTGCGTGCTGGCCACGTGCTCCAGAAGTTGCTGTCTAACGACTTTACAGTAAAATAATATGCAAACAGAACTATGACCGACATCTAAATATTTCTCACTATTGCGGTGCCCATGCCATTCATTTTGGGCACCGCATTATATTCTGCCTGTGAGTTTGTTTGTCCGTTTGTTTGTCAGTTTGTCCGTCGTTTGTTAGTGTGTTCGCATCAATACGTTTCCTTAATCGCCTACTAAAAATTCCTTGCACGTGCTCAGAATTTATTAATTGTTATTAATCGTGTGCTCTCAAGATCGACTACTTGCTAAGCTTTATCCAGGGACGCCGGAACTGGGGGGGCAGGGGGGGCGGCTGCCCCCCTTGCCTTTTGCTAGGGGGGGCAGGGGGGGCAGAAGTGCCCTTTTAGTTGTAAAATAATACGTGATAAACAGGGGCCGCGGAACCGGGGGGCAATGGGGGCATATGCCCCCCCCCCACTTTTTTTAAAAGTGAAAAAAGTGTCCTTTTTTCTGGGCTAAAGTGCCCCATTTACAGAACGAAAAAAGTATTCCCCGAATAAAAGCCTTCTTTTGCTGGAAAGAAAGTGCCCTTTTTGCAGAGTAAAGGCTCTATAAAGGCCATTTCCAACGTTATAGAGACTCCATATTTTCAAAAATTTTCGTCCGGCTCGTGAACGACATAAAATCGTTTGATTTTGATCATATACAAAAGTGCCCCTTTTGGCCAATGCCCTCCCCCCACTTTTGAAATGCTTCCGCGGCCACTGGTGATAAATCACATTTCCAACGATGCTTTTTGTAGGAAAATCACGAGATTCAGGTAATTTAATTTATAGTTTATACTGTTTATAAAAATTTTGGGAAATTTTTGTAATTTAGAAAAATATTTTGAAGAAATGGCGAAAATTTAAGATATCCGGAAAAATTTTTGGCTTCACGGAAAATTTTCGTATGTCCGGAAAAAATTTTTGACCCCTAAAATGGTACACTGACCGTGGTACACTGACTTGCAGTGAAAAAAAAATTTCAGTAAAGGTGCCCTTGGTGTGCGTCCGCCCCCCTTTGCCCTATTATCGTTCCGGCGTCCCTGGCTTTTATCTCTGGTTTTATGCGTCAAACAAGGACAAAAATACTACTGTTCGAATTAGCGTGAAAACTTGTATTTACGGATGGAAAATTGATTTCAAGATTGATTTCTATTCTTACGATTTATGGCCTTTGAAAGACAAGCCGCTCAAAATAATCCTTCACGTTTTCCGAATTCCTTTTTTCGAGGAAAGTTTTCTTTCGAATTAATCTCAGATCGACTCTCACGATTGACTTTTTGCTGCGCCTTGTCTTTGGTTTTATGCGCCCAATAAGGACAAAAATACCACCGTTCGGTTTAGCGTAAGAAATTATACTCACAATTTATGGTCTTTGAAATACAAACGAAATTGTATTGTTCACAAACGTCAAATCGCTCAAAATGATTAAACTAATTAAAAATGCAATACTGCACATTTGACCTTGATAACTTTCGTATTGGTAGTTTTCTCTTTTTCGTAGTTTGTTAGTAGTTTGAGCCCAAAATATTATATTTTGAAGGTTTTAATGTGCAGTTTTAATAAGCGAAATTGTATATTTGTATTGTTGACAAATCGCTCAAAATTATGAAACTAATTAAAAATGCAGTCCGTTTGATCCTTGATAACTTCGGAATTGTTGGTTTTCTCGTTTTCGGCCGTGTGCCAGTGGATTCGTCTAACTTTTCTCCTCATTTTGATAGTATTTTGAGCTCAAAATATTTTATTTTGAAGGCCTTAAAACGCAGTTTTGATCCTAATATACGGACCAACTGGCGGCCGACAGGAAAATGTGTATAGCGTGCTAAATATAACTTTACTTGTGCATGTAGGCGGAAACGCCGAAAGTTTTATTTGTAGGCGGGCACCGCATTCTACTTTAGTATTGTGTCTGGTTAAATATAATATTTTACAGTTTATCAATGAAATGCCATAACTGCATAAGTGAAAAATATTAATAGTTTGACAAAAGCTTGGAATGACTGATTATATATAAAACGTCTCGGAAACAATACGAACTGACATTACTGACTACAGATTAATACACTGAGTACAGAAATTTCTGCTATTAAAAATAATATACTTCACCACAAACACTAGATCATTAATATAGACATTTATAGTTCACTGGGCGTCGCCACTACAATATAAATACGCTCGACCTCGGCATGTTGCCTCTGGAGCAAAATTTCAATTTTATTTTATTATTTACTATTTATTGGGCCATATAAACCTAGTTAATAATAATACAAGAACAAGCTAGCTGATATAAATCAGCTGCTGACTTATAATTTTATATCAAAACTATCCACTGGCACTTATTCATGTATACATCGCTCCGTATCTTTGATAGATAAAACACTTTGCTATAATACTATCAACCTCAGATGTAATACACTCTAGTCTACACGATTTCAGCATTTCACACCGCCGCTCAATAGTCACCCCTCGTCCATGTCTACCATTGTAAAATAATAACATATGAAAGCACGTGTATTATGCACGCGTATTTATGTTGCAGGGGGGCAGATCATATAATAACAAGTGCTTGAAATGCAACAGTAATATTGTTATAACTTCTCTAAATGTCGGATAAAGAAGTATGAACATGTACCATCATGAATATAAATATAGATTGTAATAATCAACAAACAGCTATGAACGATTAGTTGGCCGAACGTCGCGAAGCTCTAGAAAACGCGGCAGGTACAAAACGCAGGTTGCAGGTTGCAGGTTGCAGGTTGGAATTTTGCAGGTTGCGAATTTTGCAGGTTGGAATTTTGCAGGTTGGGGATTTTGCAGGTTGGAATTTTGCAGGTTGCCAGGAACTTTGCAGGTTAATAATGCAAGCTTAAAATTACACCACTTTTTTAGTATTCTAGTATTATTTAGTTGAGCATTTATTGCAGTCTGACTCCTTGTCGGCGCCTCTGCTCTAAGGCTAGTGGCCATCACCCCCGTGAAAACATTCAAAATGACCAGATTGGCTTGGACCTACAGGGAGACGAATGCAGGGGCGTAGGAAATGGGGGGCCAGGGGGGGGGGCAGGCCCCCCAAGTTTTGCCAAGTGCCCTTTTTCCGGGAGCAAAGTGTCCTTTTTTGTGTTAAAAATGTTTTAAGGATTGCCTTTTTTTTCCCAAAGCGCACTTTTCGAAACTTGAATTTATGTTATTTTCCGGAATATTTTTTTGCGAAAAATTTTGTTGTGTTTCCGGAAAATTTTTTTCATATTTAGTAAAATTGGATATATCTGGGAATATTTTTTTGGTTTGTCCGGAAAAAATTTTTGAGACCTCCCCCCTTCCCACCCCGTCTCCAACATTTCCGGGAAAAAATTTTTAGATGCCCTTTTTTATTCGGAAACTGCCCCACAAAGCCTGCCCCCCCAACTTTTAGAAGCTTCCTACGCCTCTGGACAAATGTTTTGATTGTTGCGAGGTGCCTACATGATGTGGCGGCGTTTATACTAGAATGTTGTTAAAAGTTAACTAACTCTCGAGTAATGATACGGTAATTGGGGGGCTTCAGTGGTCTCATAAGTGGGTGCAGAGGAGAGACACCTCATTCAGGCATTTTCTGAACTGCCACCACGTCATGTAGGCTCCTCGCAACAGTCGAAACATTCGTCCCCCTGAAGATCCAAGCCAAT